CCTGGTAACAGCCTCAGAGGACCCGCATCAAATCCTTGAAGCCCTGTCAGCCCTTCTGAGACCACAGAAGTAGATACCCTGTAACACTGCAACCGCCACATAACACCAACAAACGACAACAAGCCCATATAGCACCCAAACAACGCTCATATAACACACGAAAAACAGGAAACCATGTAGCCAATGTAGCTCTTCTGAAGCCCAGAGGATGCCCCCTTCCCTGAAGCCTGAAGACCTCGCGAGGCGAGTGGCTCACGGAAGCGGGCTCCGAAGGCCCCGTCTATCAGAAGCTAGGAGGGTCCGAGGCCATGTAAGGGATGTAAACAGGGTTTGTACTCGTATGAGGGACTCTATCTGGGATTGACAGGGATTTCCGCAAGGGTGTTTATAGGTTTACGGGGCTTGTGGGGTTTCCTAAGGGTGGTATTGGGTATTGGGGGTCGGGATTTTGGAGCAGTCTTGTAGGGCTCTAAAAGCTAGCATGTGAAATATCATGATGCCAATTATCACAGCTGAGTCTCAGAATACAGTTCCGGGGTTAAAGGCCAAAGTAGCTTTTCGGTGAGCTGCACTGTGTGAGCCTCATTGTAGAAGCTCTTGTCAGATGGCTGCCTCAGGTCGCAGTCGCCGAAGCTGTGAATGCTGGCCCCAATGGGGCGAAACGAGCAATGCAGTGAAGCTCACGTAAAGTGAGCTTGTAGGATCCCAGGCCCATGGCATAGAATTTTTCGTCGGCATCCGCTCTGTACGCATCTCTTCTGCTTGCCAGACGCCGTCCCGTCGGGACCTGGTCCTCACCGACAGCTGGGAGTCCAGAGAAGCAACACGCCCTTCGATCCTGCAGGAAGTGCATGCTCGGAATGAGTCATGACCCGTCAAGCTTGTCAAAGCACCTTAGCAGCCGGGACGCGTGTGATTATGTGTGTCGCTGAGTCTGAGGAAAAATGATGTACTCCGACTTATATCCGGAGGACTTCGCTGTGAACATGCAGAGGCGCACAACTCCCAAGAAGCCGCAACTCGGTTGAAGCTATCGTCAAATCGCAAGATTCGGGCATGTCACCTGCCTCGTATGCCCTATACGAACCCGCAAAATCATATTACGCTCTCATAAGAGGTGCTGCGAGTGATTCGAGTTACGTCACCCTGAACTGAAAACAACGTGAGAGCGCCGGCCTCATGTTTCCTAGACGGCTGAAGCGGGGTGAGAAGTTAGGAAGTACAAGTAGCTTCCTTGCGCTGGCACCTCTTACTCTGATCGTCGCTATGCTTTTGCTGTGTCTATAAACCCTCTTAGCCGACTAAACCTAGCCCCGAAATACCCCTACCCACAAGAGGTACAGTAGCCCCTCAAGTCAGGCAAGCAGACTGCCAGAGAGAGCAAACGGTCTCCACTTTCCGGCGGTCGCTGGCAGAGTTGCTGGGATTAGATTGGAGACACTTCGTGTGTGCTTCTGCGAAATACTGCCAGATGTGTGGCTCACTTGGCTCTTTTTGGTGCAGGTATACGTGGATTAAGCATAGAAGGGTACACTCCATCCATCCATCCATCCATCCATCCATCCATCCTTCCATCCATCCATCCATCCAGCCATC